ATATTTAAGGATTTACTGAAAGACCTGAACACTGTCAAGTTCTCCTACCCCCTCATTATGGATGGGGGAGCAGGAAAGGATGGGGGGGGGAGGAATAGGGAAAAATCCTAGGTGAAAGAGCAGCTTTCAATTGGAAAGGCTGCTTTTGAAGTTACAATAAGAATTCTACAGCATGCCACCTTATGAAGCTTCTAGGTTTTTTTTGTACCGGGGGGTGGGGGTGGGGGGTGGGGAAAACAGATTTGCTCAGCTCTATCCTGGACTAACATTTTAAAAGAAAAAAAAAATTACTGTACTGAAGTGCTCTTTATTCTAAATAGCAAAAAAAATTTGTATTTTGTGATCTTGGATTTGAGAATTGGGATTTTCTAAAGACAAACTTCCCCAAATTTGTGATATGTCAGCAACCAGAGCACTTGCTGGTGGGCTCCAGAGAGCTGACTAGTCACCTAGTGCGAGCTCTTCATTTCTAGCTGCTAAGTTGTATGAAGATATCTAATGCATTTTTAGCTGCTTTCCAAGTGTGTCTTTTCCATGCAAATGTAACTCACTGGTGTGTGATACACAGCTCCCTCAGAACCCAATCTGCACATGATGCAAGTCGGTTATAGACACAGCTAAAGAGACGTGGCTCTTTTGCTACAGTTTGAACTATTCAAGCTTTCAGCTCTGGGGGTCCCCAGCTCAATCCCCCAATCTGCTGGCCCAGATGGCAGATCTCACATAAGTAGTTAAGGATTGTGAGTGGAAAGCGAGGGAGTTATTGATCATTTGTATTTAAATGTGGCTCTACTATGACAGTTTGATGCCTACCTGCAGGGCTGGCGCTTCCACTAGGTGACCCTAGGCGGTCGCCTAGGACGGCAGGATTTGGGGGGGGCGGCCTTTTGCCGTCCTCAGCGGAAATTCAGCGGCGGGGGCTCCTTCCGCTCCGGGTCTTTGGCGGTGGGTCCTTCACTCACTCCGGGACCCACCGCCAAAGTGCCCTGAAGACGCGGAGCGGAAGGACCTCCGCCGCCGAATGCTCAGAGGAGGAGCGCAGCCGCCTAGGGCGGCAAAAACCCTGGCGCCACTCCTGCCTAGATGAGGAATACAGTGTGACATAGTAAATTTTAGAAGATCTTGGACCCCCAAGCATGCAGTAGATAAGTGCATACTAGAATGGAGTGAGTGCTAAGTGAATACAGAAATACGATAAACGAAGGCATTAGTAGTTTCTGGCACAGGAGTTTGTTCTTAAAAACCAAGCTTGTGGGGCAAGTTAAAAGTGACTAGTTTTACTTATTGTAAGGAAGAAACTGAGCTGGATTTCAGTCTTCAGCTTGCTGGAAAGAAAGTCGTTCCAAATTTGGGTACAGTTATCACACAACAACCAGAATGCAGCTTACTTTTAACTTTTCAGGGTCCATCTCCTTAGCCATTTCTTCTTTTCTCATTTCAGCTATTGTTCTGGGTCCCTTTCTGTCTTTGTGGGCATTAAAGCCTTGACCAGATAATAGGTCTTCAAAATCAGCAGACACCTTTGGTTTTGAGTCTTAATAAAAATCAGAAAGCTTAAGTTAGCGTCTACTCTTGTAGATACGCAGTATGATTAAACAACATTTTCTTCAAGTTGCCCACCAAAGCAATATTCTGAACACAAAGCACATAACCTCTTAATACTTCAACAGTCTGTATGTAAATTCTCACCTCATGATGTAGAACCCCAGAGCATAAGGCATTTTCAGAAATGGCAACTAGTTGCATGTATCCAACTTAATACACTTGGGCTCCAGATTCAGGCATTCCAAGCTCTAGGCTCCAGTTGAAGGGAAACACATATGTTCTGCAATCAGACATGTCTAGCTGGACACTCCAACAGAGCCACACAAAATCTATGGCCACTTTTGGAACATAAGAGCAACCATACTGATCAGACCCAAGGTCCATCCAGCCCAGTATCCTGTCTTCCGACAGTAGCCAATGCCAGGTGCCCCAGAGGGAACAAACCGAACAGGTAATCATCAAGTGATTCATCCCGTCGCCCATTCCCATATGGCTGTAGGAGTGTTAGGAATGCAGAATTTCTGGAATACCACCAAACTTCAGAATCATCATTCCCCTCCGTCTCTCCCCACCCAAGTACAAAATGTAATTGCCCTTGGAGATCATACAATGATCAGTTTGGTTGTATTTACTCCGGTCATCAATTGTTCATCTCTTTTTGCAATGAACTCCATTAAATAGCAGCAAACATTTTGGAAATCATTGGGGGCAGAGGGTGAAAAACACACCACACTCTTACCAGCATTGGCTGGTCCTTTCCCACGATCGTTTTGCCCACCAGGCATTGCTGAAAAGCTCACATTGTAGTTGGGCCTGTTCTGTGGAGAGGCATGTGGTATGTTTTGCTGGGATTTGGACTGTGATTGTTGCCAGGAGTATCCGGCACCTTGCTGCCAACCACTACCTCCCATTGGCTGGGGAGATGGTTTCTGTGGAGAGCCCATAGGAGGGAATCCTCCACTTATTCCTGTCGGTGTGGTTGGTTTGCTGGCAAATGAAGACCCCCCTGTGATATAGGAAGAGGTGAGGAAAAAAGAAAAAGTTTAGCAGCATGTTCCAATAGACAGGGCACTGGTCTGAGAGCTGGGAACAGAACCCAGTGTCCTGACTCAGCTATTGCTCTGTTGTGTGACCTGGAGCAAGTCACTTCACTGGTTTCCTTTGGTCTTCGTCTATATTTAGTTTGTAAGCTCTCTGGAGCAGGGAATTTCCTTTGCTAAGTCTATTCTGCACCTAGCAGAAAAGGGCCCTGACCTGGATTGGGACCTCTAGAGGCTATTGTAATACAAACTAACAATAAGCACAGGTAGCTCCTTGTGTGCTACACATGGTGGACAGTCAGGAACCAAACAATTTCTTGTGGTGGTTACAATGCCAAGCAACATTTACTAGAACATTTGCCATGAGATTGTATGCATAGACAGACACACACTACTTCCTGAGGGGCATAAGGTACCAAAATGGCCAAAACTAAAATAATGATGTAACCAGAAAATATTATCCTTTGGAGCTTAAAGTGTCAAGCTGGATTCAGATACATTTAATGTAAGTTTGGTTAAGTTCATGTGACCTAAAAAATGTGAACTACGCTGAACATTTAAAGTCTGGTCCATATCCTGTAGAGTCCAACCTCTTGCTTGTTTTTAGAATCCATCACATCACTACACAGATTCACTAAAGCAAGAACAACAACTGCTCTCTTACATAATGCCTGGCACTTGTTTGTTTTGTTCCAGCAGAGCAAGTGGCAAGCCAGCAGAGAGAACTGGGAAACCTAATTTCAGAACCATGCTGACATTGACACAGATGAAGAAATGAAACGGCAGCCAAAGGCATGTTAGTTTGTCCAATGTAAGAAGCAGAGGGTGGGAGGAGCTGGCAAATGAAAAAAAAAAATTCTGTGTTTACTGAAGTGGAAGCGGGAGAAAGTCAGAGATATTGACCACCTGAGAGTGTCTTAAAACCAGCATGATCAAAAGTCTTTCCAATAGTAGCGTTTGGAGGCCTCTGATCATTTTGCAGGACAACCTAAGCCAAAAGCATGTATCTAGGAGTCAGAAAGTGAAGTGTCATTTGCAGGAAGACACAAATTAAGGCAGGATCCTTGGGGTTCCAGGCCCCAGCTTTAGGGGAAGTGTGGATGGAGCAGTGACTCAGGGCAGAGCAGCAGGCACAGCAAAAAGGCATAGCCTGGAGGGGAAGATCAAAGCCCAGGCAGAAGAAATAAAGCCCACTGAAAGGCAGGTGGAGAGTCATTCTCAGGAACCCCTGAAATTTGGGGGGGGGTCCAAAATATTGGTTGAGCCAAGCCCCATTTGTTGTTTTATCGCGTTTGTTGCCATCAGATTTAAGCGAAGGATAAAATCAAGGCAGCAGCCCCTCACAAGTTAAAACCAATCATTGGCGAGTCATTGACTTCATGTTATACCTTACAAACCCATGCTGCCTAACAATGGTGAGGTCCCAGCCAAGTCTTCCAACAAACACCTGTAGATGCAAGCTCAGAAGTCCAGCTTTGAAGAGGCATAAAGAACCTAGTCATCCCCTCCCTTCTTTGAAACAGCTGCTTTCCAAAACCATCTCTGAGGTGCAAGTGTAGTAAACTGCTCCGACCCTCCCTCCCCCCAGAAATACTGCTGCCCATTCTAATTCAACCCTTCCACATTAGCATCTCTTCTAAACTGGCCAGCCATGCGATTTGAGGTATTTAAAAAACAACCTGCTAAATTTGCACCAAGAGCCCCCAAATCAGCAAATGGATCCAGAGTTTGTGGTTTGGACTGATGAGTGGGAGTGCTATGGAGAGATCCTGTGGGACTTGTAGCGGCTGACTTGCTTCCCATACCAAGGCCACCTACAGAGAGAAACAGGGTTTGTAAAACCAATCTGTAACATTAGCTCTGCTCAAACTTACCATTAGGATTCACACTTGTATATTACCATCTTAATCTTTAAGTCAAGCATGCTCTTGTAGAACATCGAGGTGCTTTGTATATTGAACTGACATTTTATACTTTGAAGAGTAAATGGTTCATCACTCTCACAATACACCACCAACTATGCAAGAAAATATTAGGCTTGGTATTCTCAGATTGCTTCTACAGCAGCCATTGTATTTTGCGATCATATGTAGTGGGGGCGGGGGCAAGTGAAACACTTTAAAAGCTTTGAATTAATTTTATGTAGTGGCTAGCCATTAGCCACAGTTAGGACTCCACAACGTATTTGAAGACCTCAATGGCTGAGAAGTTTGCATTTAAATTTGATTTCACGAGACACCTGCTACATTTTGCAGGTTTTTTGCTCAAAATGAGGACCATTTTCAAACAAATGGTTCAATTTTCAAGCTAAACCCTTTGTCTTCAGAGCAATTTTTACATTATACCACGCAGAGTTTGGAAGTCTTGCACATTGATGCAAAAAACAGCTTTCACAGATGGTGAGAAGTAAAATTTGGAGGTTAGAGAAGGCCACACAACCTCATTTAGACTTATTTTTTTGAGAAGGGATGTGAAGTTCTGCATGAAAAATGGTTTGCACTACTTCAGTGGTCACTGTTACTACAGTAACCTACAATCTTGTCACCTTCAAAGGACAGCAATTTCACATGCATAACTTCCTCCGTACCTTTGAAGGAGCATGCACTAGATCCCTTAAGTTCAGGGGAGAATCTTGTGTAGTCCATCAATGGAGTAAATAAAGTTGTTGTAATACAACATAAGTGAGTACAGTTTTAGGTAATGGAAGATGAAACCAGCTCTCTTCAGCTAGTTGTAATATTTTCCCCATTAAGAATTCACCTTTAAAAAAGGGATACAAAGTGGTACCATACAAACCTGATTTGTTGGACCACTCCCAGCCACCTGAAACATCTGGTTGTATGGCAACCGTTGGTGTACTAGAAGCTAAACAAAACGATTGTTACTTATTAAGGTATTACAAAAAGAAAACCTAACCCAGCCTCAGAAGAAAAACAAAAAAGAGTAAAGAAACCTATAGTGCAGAATGAAATTGTATAGTGGTACTCTGTGATTTGGTAATGATGGCAGAGTCCCATATTGAGTCACAGCTATTGTGAGTAAAGTTCTCTTTGACCCCCACCCCATTACGTTTTGTTAAGCACGGTACACAGATTTAATGTCTGTTTCAAGTGACTCAGTTGTACAAACTGCACAGTCCAATACAAACTTCTCTGATTTGGTTAAAGACAATGCATAAAATCAATGTGACCACCACCCATTAGGATTTTTAAGTAAATATCTGTAGCTATCAAATGGGGATGATTTTAGGCAGTTTTATTTTAGGCAACAAAGTTAGTTGGCTTGCACTCAATTTATCAGAAATTAAAGTTGTGCCAGTTTGAGATGCCTATTACCACACATTAATTTACTGAAAGATTTTAAGTAGTGACCAGAGCACAGAGATACTGTATTGGGTGGAAGATCAGAGCAAAGTATCTAGCACATTCAACAGATGCCTTCGTCTTGGCAAGTGCCAGCAGTAGAAGAATTCAAGTTTTGAAATGTTTGCGGAATCCCATATTTTAGAAGAGAGAGAGAGAGTCCATTAAAAACGTGACCTGCCTTGGGTAAAGAAAATAGTTCTAACCCAAGTTAGATGAGGATCATTTTTTAATTCAGTGCTTTAAAATGAAGCAAGATTTCATTCTTCCATGTATGTTATCTGCCCTGAAACCTACTACTATTTCCCTCTACCCTAGTAATGCAGACTATTTCTCCAGGCAGTCTGAAGTACTTTGGAATTCCTTTTGGGTGAGCAACACTATGATACCTTATATATTTACTTATAATCCCTTACACTTAAGTGCTTTAAATAAATTTAAAAAAAAAAATTCAGAAATTGCTGAACTCAACTGAATGCTGCAAATCTACAGACCCTTCTATCTTTTGTTGAGCTTTTTGTACCACTCTTGAGAAAATGAGCTTCTCTCTGGAGTGACAGGCCTGGCTTGTGAAAGTAAGGACCCCCCCTAAATATAAACATGGCAGCACAAAGGGAAAATGCAAAATGAAAATCAAATGAAAAATGCACCTGATAAATAAGCCTCAATATCACGATGTGGGGATTTGTTTTGGACATAAACAGCCTGCCAGAACAGTTGCTTATCAAGAGCTGAACCTAGTCAACATAAGTTTGCACTTTCTGAACAATACAGAAATGGTGCTCCAATACCATGGTGACGGGCACTGTTCCTAGATTACATGTGTCCCCATTCCCTCCACCACAGTAGTGCATGGATTCTCTTCAGCACTGACTGCACATATCCTCCACAGGGTTCAGATGTTTGTGCGGGAAAGGGGGTGGGGGCTGGCGAACAGGGTAACGCTCACAGAAATTTCCACCCTATAAGCCCTTTCCCCCTGACGTTTCTCCCCCAAAGATGATCTGGACCCTGGATAAAGAGTCAGGGAATTGTTTCATTAGGACAAACAAAACAAAAACAAACAAAGGTAGAGAAAGCAAAATTGTCAAACAAAAAGTTCAGTTGTAACATCAGAAGTGAAACGTACATTAAATGCAAAGCCCAGCTCTGCTAGAAGGGAAGTGACATCAAATACAGCATCTTGGTGAGTCGGGGAAATCATTCAAGCTGGTCTTTACAGAAAGTAGCACAGTTCTGAGCCAGCATCATGCTTCAGAAGGAGCCAAAAGACATTCTCCTAAGCACTTCTCCATTCCAGAGCAAGCTTTAGCAGTTCAGTAAAACCTTACATCCTCCTGTCAGCAAAGATCAGCAGCCACAGAAACATTAAAGGAAAGCAAAAGGTGTAACTGTATTTCAGAGGGGACAGCAAGTTGTTTCATTCTAATGAAGTGGTATAAAAATACACAGATAAACCAAACTGGGTTTCTTTAATGCAGCGGAGAGAAACAAGTGGTCAGGTTTTCAAACATTATTGGACTGCACAACCACCTTCTGCCAAGTTCCCTCATTAATTCTCGGCATTAGCACTGTAATTTAGTACCATAAAGAGCCAAGATACTATTTAACTGCTTTCATTGATGCAGCCGGCGCTGGCTAGGACTCATGGTGTCCAATTAACAAAGTTGATATGCCCAGTACCCTCCCCGTTTCCATGTTATGGCAGAACTAAAATACACCAGTGCCAGTGAGATTAAAAAATCCCCTCTTTTGTAATACTAACTTTCCAATGAGAATATCCCACTTAAGATATCTCACAGATCTTGGAGACAGACCAGTCCTCGCTTACAGACAGCCCCCCAACCTGAAGCAAATACTCACCAGCAACCACACACACACACACACACACAACAAACACACACACACAAC